AACAACAACAACAACAACAACAACAACAACAACAACAACAACAACAAGGTACAAACAAACAACAACTATGTAGGGCGGCGACTCTTGTTTCTACCAACAACAACTTTTCCTCATGCTATGCCGGCTAAGCGTCCACCGCTTGGGCATGGACCATGTTCACGAAAGCGTAGCCCAAATTGGCGTCCCGGTAGAAGTCGCATGGCAAGTACACGAAGTCGTAGAGACCCTTCATCCCTTGCTCATCAAGCCTGCTGAGGCGTCCGAAAAAGGAGTGGAACGAAGGCCGATTAATTAACGTCATGCCGGAATACCAGCGATGAGATGCGCAAACAGGTAGATTGGTCTACTTGGAATTTGCGCAAGGAACCTGACCAAACAGATCCATGTGTATATGCCATACACATTTACATAAACTAATGTAGGTGCAAGGGTATATCGGTATATCCCATTGTCAGCAACAGTGGATGATGAGGATGGTTACCGACTGTTACTGGTAATGGGACACACCCTGAGGAGGACAAGCGAAGATGACCCGGTCAGGAAAAGCAGCATCAGCATCACTGATGAAGAAAAGGGATCGAGTACTGGGTCTCCGAATTTCTCAGAATTCCTCCGAGTCTCCGACATCTCTGGTATGGAGATCCAAGGGTGTGCGACAGCAGAGCAGAACACACAACATAAAGAAAGGATTCATAACAAATGTTTATGGACTTTAACTCAAACCTCTCATTCTTGGCCACCCGCAAGCACGACTGCCAAGTAGCAATTGTAGGAACATCTCGCGAGTGTAGTTGTTGGGCAAGTTCCTCAACATCACTGTGGTGCGTTCCTTGGGCTTCTTCACCTCCTGCCAGATGGAGTCTGGAGAGCTGTACTTTAGTTGCACCCACAACAGGTTACATACTGAAAAGCACTCCAAGCAAGGATCTATAATAGGTGGTCCATCAAGACTCCCTCAGATTCATTAGGCCCTTTATTTCTGGGGGCCAGTCATCAACGCCACTTGGAAGGCGAGAAATATGGAATGCTCCTTTGTTGAACCGGCAAGCATAATTTGGATACTGTAAGAAAGACAAAGGCTTCACTCAACTTTCAACCCTTATAACGTACCCGGGACTGACGCAAATTATGTGTGCTCCTCTTATTGGAAACCAATCTGGCATCCATCCATCCTCATTGCCTGTTTGACAGGGTGATTCCCTACACGCCACCAGCAATCGGAATCCCCGGCCAGAACCGTAAGCATGTCACAACACCATTCTATCCCCACAGGCTCCTACCTCCATGTCCAAGGTCTTTGGGGTGGGTTTGGAGGGTCCAAACTAGGGCCCACACTCTTGACTGTTGAAAAAGCTTCCTGCAAGTATCAAATTTCCAGTGAGTGTGAAGGCAGCTTTGGCAACTGTGCGTTCACAGCTGATGCAAATTGATGCAAACCTCCATTCCTGTGGTCCTGATCCCAGAATTGCGTCCTCTAAATATGGCTGCTTGATAACATAACTCCGAAGCTGACTTGACTTTTGCCCCCAACTTGACTTGACTTTTCAGTTTGCATGAAAACAGCTGGGAAGTGCACATGACTGTCATCTCTTCCCCAATGGACCTACGTACCGACCGATGAAAAAACTGCTATGAACATGGAATGGGTGTCTCTTATCAAACGTTGTTCACCTCTTGAGCTGTTCCAGCTTGTAGCCTACCCCTTATTCAAACAAAAAGCAACCTTACAGTAGCCTAGCCTTTATCCAAACCAAACATCAACGTAACAACAATCAAAGCACTGGTCACCAAACCCCCCACGTACCTCGACCGCGATCTCGGGCGCCGGTGGCTCCGCCGGCGTGGGTGCTGGAATCTCATAGACCTCCGAGATGGAGATGAGTGGTGAGGCGCAATGGTGAGGAGTGGTTGATGAAACCCTAGGCTTCCAACCACCATTACTGTAAGAATCTGTAAGAGGCTTTACCGAATCAACTAAGGGTTTTACACAACAAAAACCAGGTCAACAAGTTTCTTCACGGTCTTGGAAGTCTAGGGAAAAAATGGCATCATGGATTTAAATTGATCCTGTGGAGCACCGAATCCCTGTCGATGTTAGACATATCCCGTCCGATCTTATGCACGCCTTTAAGGGACACCCTGGCTGCAAGCCAGTTGCGACTTAGGTCGGTGTTCCGCACCCGGGGAACCCTCTGGCAGAACCGCTCGAGCCCCAATCCGTAGCTCTTCCTTTCCACATGGCCCACTGGTCGGTTCCCTGGTCGGAGTTACAGGATGGAGTAAACCGTCGACACGACTAGCACGCAACTATCTCTGCATCTCCATCACCCAGCTGAAATCCTATGTTCCAATATGTTGGGCCATATATTCTGCAGAGTTGATGAGCTACCCTATGATCAGCCACCAAAACCTGGTTCCCCAGTCGCTCCCGAGTCCGCGACCCCGGGTCCGCCGCAGTTTCTGGGCGCGCCTTCTCCGCTTTGGGCTCCCAAAGCCAAGGCCCCTCAGTGCGATGGCGCCGGAGCTTGTGAAAGCGGCGGGTCAAGGGCTCCTCCTCCGTTTCCAAATGGAAGAACGTGCTGCGGATCACCAAGCAGCCTCAGGCACAGGGCAGGGCACAGGGCAGTGTCTTTTGGGTTGCGGGAAGGATCGAGAGATCGATATGCGAAGAACAATGACTGAAAGAAGTGTCCACATACATGGTGAAACTCTCCGGATCCAACGGACATGGACATACGATTTACATTCCCTCAAGCAACGGGAAAAAAAAAGATCCTCTATCATCCTCTTGCATTTCTGGAGGGAGAGGAGGACTCAACAAAAGGCCAAATCCGCTACACGGGGCAGTGGAGAGGAAGAGACGATTCTGCAGCTATAGAAGGTTTGGTGAAGCCCCTGAGTGACCGTGGGACGTGCCTCGAGTGCCTCTAACATGCATTCGGATCCTATTACCAGCATCAGTGGATTATGATGGTTAGTAAATGCATTGTTAATACATGTTATAATACCATTTTTTACTGACTGTTGCAGGTAATCGGACAGACCCAAAACATGCATGTGTTGAGTAATTCTTATAAGATGAAACCTCATACCAGTAAATGGGACGAAGTGATCTCATAGGGAACTCTCCCCCTGAAAAGCAGTTGTTTCCAGGCTTGCTTGACCCATTTTGAATCGAGCAAGCGGAAATGGCTTCTTTCGCACTTTGAACAGGATTCAATGCACGTTGGGGTCATGATTCACCTCAATTAGTATCGAACAATAACTGCTCGAATCATTCAATGGGTGTCCAACATGGAATAGGCTACCCTGCACTACTTGGGGATCCCCATTTGACACCCATTGGATGGTCCAAATATATAAACTATTTTGATCCTTTGGACTTGACACCCACAAGTTCGAGAACCCACTCTGGCGTGTAGCTGCGTCTTCCTACACAACCCAAGACAAATCGGGGTAGCCGTTACAAATCGGATAAACAATACAAAATTGTAAAAAACAAAGAAAACTTCCAAAGTCTCGGACCTGCCGCTCTTTTCGACCTGCGCTTAGCCACTTAGCTGAACGATTTTCAAACAAACTGGATTCAAATTCATCAAAATTATCTTTCGCATGAAAAGATATGCGTTGTTTTCTATTTTTCGCAATTCCTTCGGGTCCTCTTTGAGTCTTGTTCTCCCGCCTCAAATCCAGCCAAGCTCCTCCCCACCTCCAAACCTGGCATATCTTCATGCAAGCATTCTCCTATACAATTCCATACAGGATTCATCGGGATTCATCCTGGCCAGCCTCTTGACCCCCGAAGAAGGACTCTTGCAAAAAAGAAGCTCACACATTGACATGTCCCCACATAGAATTCGAGTCAAAACCAAGGACAGTTTGGAAAATGTGTTCCCCTTTTTTCACCCTCAAAACCGGTTTGCAATTCACATTCTATCAAACCATAGGCAATTCTCCGACACGGGGAGAGGTGTTCAGAATGCCCCCCCCCACACATGCACACGACCGATCCAAGATGATCCAAGGCCAAGGAGCACGTGGCGTCGTCCCCACACTGGTCCGAAGTATCAGAGCGAGGTGTTGGGACCTGCGGCTCCCCCTGTTCGGGGGGGAGCGTGACGGGGACGTGACTGGGGAGGAGTGGTGTGCGGCGCGGCCGATGGCGGCCGCTTTGGATGGCATGGTGAGGGTCTGGTGAGGGTCTGGTGAGTCGGCACACCAGTTTTTCCTCTAGTTGGGTGTGTTTTTGTTCTTTGGTCTGGTTGGGATGTCAAAAGCTAAATGCTCCTGGAATCTCTTGGACATTGGGGCAGTCCGGGACTCTAACGACACACTGGTGACACCTCGACCACATCAATGGATACCAAGCCTACCACCCCTTTGGAGAGTCACAGGAATGTGTCTCCCATCAAGACTAGGCCACTTGGTACTCTACACTAGGCCAGAGGCCAGAAGCTACAGTTTCAGGGTAAATGGCGCAAACCCCAATATGCGCTTTAGATGTGTGAGATATCTTTAGATGAGGCTCCATTTCAACTACCTACCTTTTGGAACTTGTGCCATCTACTCTGAAACCACTCTCGGTGATCTGACCCCAACCTTTTGGAGAATGTAAACGCATTCTAGGCGCCTGGGAGTACACAGCAGTGCTGGCCGTTTCATCGCTCGAGAGGTGCATGGCATCCTTCATTGGGGCACACAACCTGGTGGCGTCTGGCAAGAACGCTGGTGGAAGGCCAACAAATGGTAGGGGGGAACATTGGATGGGGGGCGGACGCAGTGCACCAATGGGCGTTTCGAGCACCCAGTCAGCAACTCTGGTGTGGCATTGGGAACATCAGGAAAATTTGGGGTTGATCCTCATCAGGACACACACACACATATTATAATGCAAATCCCCTCCATCAAATAGTTGTGAAAAGTCTTCACGATTGGGGTGGACCCTCATTCACTGAGCCAATGCCCACTCTTACTACCCAAGCTCAGAAGCGTGGCTATAAGGATTCTAAGGATATGTGATGGTGGGAAAGTAAACTGAACTGTATACACACTCCCGGAAATAATCATGGAAGTGGAACAAACAAAATCTATTTGTAGTGGACAATGGTCATCCAAAGGGGTAGCTTGAGTCTTGCAAAACGCAGTCGGCATAGCTGGTTTCTGGTTCAAACCTGTGCAGGAGGGACTCAGGAGGCAGGAGGGACGACTGATTCTTCCCCCGCTCGAGGAAGGGCTGGAATCCTGGAAAGGAATATATCAATTGACTTGACTAGGAGAGGCCTTCCAAAAAGCATCTATAGATTATAGTCCGTCGCCCCTTCAGTATACAAAGGGCCGTTTCTAGAATGTTGTCCAACTGCGCAGTGCCTAAAAGTATGACCTATATGAGTTTTGCAAGTGTAAGCATTCACCTGCGGCACAGGATGAATCTAGGATCTGAAAGGAACACCCCCAGGCCCGCAGGGCTCCAAAATACATACTGCTTGGTCCTATTGAGCAAAAAGTGTCTATAGACATGCTGACCCCTTTTCTGCCCTCAGCAGCCGCGCATCAAATATAAACCACTGAAAGGCCTAGTGACATTCTCCAAAGTTCGTTCTGGGAAGCGAGTCACGTGGTTGCTTGAGCACTTTTGCCCCGGTGCTTGAGCCAACAAAAGTGCAGCACCATCAACACGTGGGAAGCACATGCTACCGCGGGCAAAAAAGAAACGGTTGCCATACCATAGCAACAAAAACAGAGCTCCAACTTAACTGTAAAGAAGTTCGTGTTGCCATGAATTTTCGCACTTGCTCCAAAGTGATGCCTGGCAAGTCTACTCCAGCTTGGTTCAAACAAAAACGGCAGAAACCTTGTGCAGGATCACGTGAAGGTCATCAACAATCTTCCCCACCTTCGAAGTATCCATGGATGAGGAGCTTCCCATCCAAGACCTGAGCCGCCAACTGAGCCGGTTGGGAGACATCCAGAACCATGTAGTGGTTCAGCAAGAGGATATGCACTCGCCAACAGAGGATTCACCAAAGAAAATAGATGTTCCAAGAGGATTCGCTGATTCGTTCCCAACAAAGGACTCACCAACAAAGGATTCAACAAATCAGCCAGACCTGCCCCAACACCCCTAGTTCCAGCTGCCACCTGGAGCCCGCTTCTTTTCGCATCCTAGGTCCTAAGAGATACAAAGAGGAAACTGGAGTAGGCATACCAAGTTTGGGAAACCATCAGGAAAAAAAGTCACTAAAATACAATGATCTGACCACTCCACTTCTTAAGAGTGCATGTCGTGCATGTTCCATGTGTCTGTCGATGCATGTCGATTGGTTTACATGTGTCACGCGCTTTACTTCTTGGGCAAGCCAGTACGCAGTCGGTCCGCCATCTGCAAAACTTACAGGGTGGCTGTTGTAGCTAAAGGATGCTAAAGGCATCTATAACAGCCAAACAAACTCTTGATTGATATGGGATGCACCGTGCCATTTCCATTTCAGGGTGCATGTTTTTGTGCGGCATCAACTTCGGTCACGGAAAAACTCCTGGCCTGGACTGCAACCTTCATGCCATCCTGCTGGGATCGTTCGGCCAACCCCTTTCAGAACCAGGGCTGGGCACCACCGAACGCAAGGGCAGGGCACCGCCGCTTCGCAGCCGAAGCCCTTCTTCACCAACGGGGTGCAAGGCGCCTGGTCCCTGGTTTTTTTGGACTCAGTATAGTCAATTCTGGACTATAGGGCTCCAGTCGTACCTTCTGGGAATGTGTCTTGGGTGGGTTGAAAGGGTCCAGTGATACCGAACCCGAGGAGGTACGACTGGAGCCTGAACGGGGGAGGATGGATTGGAACTTGGAACCCCAGCAACTCGAAGCTCGGGGGTTGTTGCAAGCGGTTCTGTCAAACTTGTTAGGGCTCTCCAAGACGTATTTCAACAATTGACAGAAAGATCCAGGGCTACGGCTAGACGTAACTCAAAGCTCCCCAAACACCATCTCATCAGAAACCACACTCAACCACACTACTCAAAAACCGTTGCTTCTGGATTCACCAAGGCAAATGAATGAAAACCATCCGAATAACGGGCATTTCATCCTCCACACTCACTCTGGGGCCCCCATTGGGCCCTGCTTCTTCGAAACGTTCAGCGCCAATGGGATGCAGGATGATACAGGCAGTCAAACTGTCCATCACACAAAACAGTGGCTCAGCCTTTCTCACACTTGAGCCAAGCATGTTCAGGGACACTATTTATCCCGCGGAGTGAAAAGACCCCTTGTTTACTTCGTCCCCCCCCCACAGGTTCATGCGGAATATTTTGGCTTTCATGCGCCTCATGCAGCCCCCCCCCCCCGCAAGGGGCTGCGCAAGTCGCTATTGCCATTCTTGCCGCTTTTCCTGTGGTAGGTTCAGAAAGGGAGTCGAAAAGGATTAAAGTAAAATGGCAAAAGCTCACCCGCAGCCGCCACCGCGACACATTCTCATTGGTCAAGAGCCAAGGTGCCGCAGCGCAGCAAGCAATGAGCGCCCAAAGTGTTCCTTAGTTGCCCGCGCAATGCGCTGGGTCAACCTTGTCTTGTCTTCGGGTTAGGAGTGACTAGGATTTGACGTCGTGCTTCCAGAAACTGAAGCCGTCCGAGTGCCTTAGTAAACACGTCCCCTTTGTGGTCCTTAGTGGATGTGTGTACTGCTCTGATCAGTCCTTGGTCAATCACTTCAGCCAGCGCCGCTACACTGATTCGATGGGTCCTGTTGAGGGACTTTAATTTAGGACTGTATCCATGCTGCAATATTAACAGCACAGCGTTGTTGTCCTCGCGCAACACAGTATCAACTTCCTGGCCAAGGACTAGTTCCATGACTGTTTTAATCGGCAGACCCTCGTCAAACACCAACGCTGATGCTGAGACGATTTCGGCCTCGGTTGTACTTCTTGAAACGCAAGTTTGCTTTTTGGCACCCCAGTAAACAGGGAAAGAAGTCCCTTCACTGTCTTGTATGAGCACGAAATGGCCGCTATGCGACCGCATGGTCATGGGGTCCCCTGCTAAGTCTGCGTTCGCGAACAAATCTACTCTAGGAACAGATTCAGTTCCTGAAACGGTGCCTAGAATTCCCAACTCAACCGAACCTTTCACGTATCCCAGTAATCGATACAGCATGATGTCATGGTTTCGGGGTCCACTTGGCGATGTGGGAAGCCAGAGACGTGATTGCGAAACTGAGGTCGGGCCTTGACAGCCTGGCCAGCCACAGGAGTTTCATCAAGAGCTGGGCGGCGCTTCCTGCTAATTGACCTTTCTCCTCATACCCCTCCTGTGTCAAAGCGGCCTCTGACACAAAAGGCGTCTCGTAGACCTTCAAAGTTTTCCCAAACTGATCCTCATAGAGCTTGTACGCCGTGACGGCGTAGTCACACATGGACATGTGAACTTGTCGCCCTCCTCCAAATTCGAAGATGAGGTGATCTCTGCCTAAATATCTTCCTGGCTGTTCTATGGCATCTACAGTTATGTACTGTGACAATATTTGCCAAAAGACAGGCAGATTTTCTTTTGGGCCTGAAACGACTAGATCATCTACATATGCTGCGCAAAGTATGTTGAGAGATTTGATGTGCCACAATGATGGCCAACCCTCAACCCGGTCCCCTTGAAGCTTGTGGATGATCACTTCGTCCAGGTATAGTGTCCAATCGTCTCCTGACGTTGGATGGCCATACATGGCCTTCTTCAACCTTGCCGCCACCCGTCTATACTTTTGATGCCATTGAGGGAGCCACGCCTCTTTTGGCAACACCACATAGGTGGCAATGGACGATCTAATTGGTGCCTGTAAATAGGCCTTTTTGGCGTCGGCGATTTGGACCATGTTGTTGACCCTTAGCCCAAACCATAGCACTAAATTCACCGTGGCCCTGGCTATGGACGCTGGGATCGATTTTAACTCCCGAAACAATGCCAACTGATTGTTTTCGTCCCGTGTGTCGTCTCCTCTGAAAACTAATCTCACTTTCAGCTTGGCCATGTCTTTGCTTTCGGAATTTTTGATTGATCCGATAGGCATTGCTTCTGCTATATGAATCTTACGACCCTCCTCTTGAGCTTGTTTCTTCAACCTCTCAACTTCATGTATGTCATTGTCATCCCACACTTCCAATATGCGCATGTCATCAGACTCTTCTTTGAATTTCTCTTTACCCTGGGGGTGATTGAAAAGTTCCCGTCTCGAAAGTGGGGTGTGTACCATACATTACCATACCCAAAACAAGCTGGGCCATCAACAAACCGCGTTCCTGATGCGCAACCGTGCCGTGAGTGACGGGCATCGCAGGTACATCAGTGAATGCTGATTCAGGACTCAATGCCGAAAGTATAGCAATTGCCATTTTGGTGTTGTATATGCCTGACTTTCTAGCCATGCTACCACCATTCAATGTGTCCAGGTCCATGATTGCACCGAAAAGAGTCCAAGTGCCCGGCAACTCGTTTGGAAGTCGTCACAATTCTCCATTCTTTCAAAGGACGTTTCCCTTCTATGACTAATCCCATCCCACAGCCAGAGGGATAACAAGAGTACATGTTGAAATGAAGAATCATTTGGGTGATTTGCTCCTGCTTCCATCCCCCATTCCTCAACGGCCACTCAAACGAAACCGAACCCCCCGATTCCAAAGCAATCTCGCCTACCTGACAGAAGTTGTCTACGAGGATTTCGGTTTCAGCGCGTTTGCTTTCCAAGACCTCCAAATACTCTCGACCCTGAACCGCTATGTTCAAATTCTGGAGTGGTGAATATGGTCCACATGGAATTGAGCCATACAAGTCAATCGACTCGCCTTTGTTTGCCGTCTCTTGGAACCAAAACAAGATTTGTTCAATCACACCAGGATCCGATAAATCACCAAAGTCTTTAGACAAGCCAAGATATGGTATTGAACAGGCTTCAGCAACTCTGCAACAGGAACTGTTGGGTGAACAGCAAAACTCAACAAACCACTTTTGCTTTTGACTTGGTCGTCGCCGCACATGACTTCAGGGCAAGCTCCAGCTTCGATGATAGCTCCTCCTCAGATCCCTTCCCTTCCTCCAAGTCACGGATATAGATCGAGGCTATCACCTCTGGACCCCTTTCCAAATCCAAATTGCTGAGCTCTTTGCCGGTAATGGGCGTTGACAAACCAAATAGATCCCCTTCAGGTGGTTCAGGCGTTTCTGCTGCAATCGGTTCCTCACCAATTGACTTCTCCCGTTTCCTTGCCGGCTCATATTCATCCAACATTTTGTTGAATCGGTCTCTGCAAAATGCAGAGTGGCTGTATGTCCCATGCTTGCAACCTTCACAATCAGGGGTTTTCCCGTAGGCAAACACACGGAGGGGTGTTATGGGCCTGTTTCGGGCCCGGGTCCCTGTTGGCGATATCTCCCGCGCCAGGCGCTGGGCAGACACCTTCCTTGGGGTCCCCTAAGTCCTCTCTTTCGCCCTCACCCAAATCATCCCCAATTTCACTGGCTAAAGAAGGTGTATAGCTGATGTCTTCCAATTCCTCCTCAGCTCTAGCATCCAACACTGGGGCCTCCGCTGCTTTTGAAGCTGGAAATTGCCATTGCCCATTTGGTATGGCTATTGTTCTTGTCACAAACTCCTTGTATACCCCTTGATGGAAATGTTCCATGGGCCACACCCTGTAATTTCCTTTAAACAGCATTCCGTCAATCAACTCCGCACCCAAGAACAAAGCTGGTTCACCTTTGGGACCAAATGAGTAGGGACCAGGATTCTTGTACCAAACCAACGCAGCAAACGGAACCATGAAACATTCAATGTCATAC